GCGTGGGGGGGGGGGGGGGGGGGGGGCTGTGGTTCATAACTATATCTGGAAAAGCCGCCTCTTTGCATATGCCGCCTCTAGGCACAGGCCTACTGTACCTTATTATAAATCTGCTCAGATTACAGTGAATGCTTTGTGGTACAGTAAAGTGGAGCTCTAGGCACAAGTAGAAGTAATGAAAAGGTTTTGTAGTCCTTCTTAATATGAACCACACCGTATTTAATAAAAAACAATTTTTGTACCATTTTCGTCCCTGAAAATTTGGCTGTTGTGCTGTTTATGGCCCAGTACTGGTGACACAGATACTACATTTGGTAGCATACATGCTGAATCCACTATGTGGGCTATTTGGTGGGGTGGAGGGAGGGGCAGGGTGTGGAGCATCACCCATCCATGAAGGCAATGTTTGCTTGAAGATGGAGGCTGGTATATGTGGATGCTGTGTTGTTAAAGGAGAACTATGGGGTCAGGGGTTTTCCCCATAGTTCTCCTTAGGGTAACGGGAGGATACAAACTAGAGTCCTCCCGTCACCCTAAGCTCAGTATACCGCGAGCTACAGCTCGCGGTATACTGAGACGCCGCAGCCGGAGCGGATCCCGACATCGATGTCGAGATCCGCCCAGCTGCGTGAGTGACAGCTGGCTCTGCCTATCTAGAGGCAGAACCAGCTGTACCCGCCCCCTCCCCCGTCCGTTACGCTAGTCAGCGCTGGCGGATCAGGGAGGGGGGAATCAAGCCCCTCCCTTGTCACGGCAGAGAGCCGTGACAGGATTGAGAAGTGAGCGAACACCGGCATGTGTTCGCTCACCTCCCGATCTACTGAGCCGACCTGTGACAGTCTCATTGTCACAGGTCGGCTAGAACTATGAGGTGAGTGAAAAGCACTCACCTCATAGTTCATCTTTAAGGCTGACTGACACCAGAAGTTTCTATCTGTCTCATGCTCACTGTGCCCGGTATGAGTCTGACTGATTTCTTCAACCATAAAATATTGCTTAATTTATCCAGCAGGGGCATTGCTAAACCCTGGCACCCAGAACATGTCTCCCAGGTCTTCTACTGAGTTCTCCAGGTCCCCACTGAGTGTCCCAGGTCTTCTACTGAGTGTCCCAGGTCTTCTACTGAGCGCCTCAGGTCCCCACTGAGTGCCCCAGATCTTCCATTGAGTGTCTTAGATCTTCTGCTCAGAGCCCCAGATCTTCTACTGATTGTCTCAGGTCTTCTACTGATTGTCTCAGGTCCTCTACTGATTGCCCCAGACCTTCTACTGAGGGCCCCAGATCTTCAAACGAGTTCCCTAGATCTTCTGCTCAGTGCCCCAGATCTTTTACTGAGTGCCCCAGATCTTCTACAGAGTGCCCCAGATCTTCTACAGAGTGCCCCAGATCTTCTACAGAGTGCCCCGGGTCTTCTACAGAGTGCCCCGGGTCTTCTACAGAGTGCCCCGGGTCTTCTACAGAGTGCCCCGGATTTCTATCTGTCTCATGCTCACTGTGCCCGGTATGAGTCTGACTGATTTCTTCAACCATAAAATATTGCTTAATTTATCCAGCAGGGGCATTGCTAAACCCTGGCACCCAGAACATGTCTCCCAGGTCTTCTACTGAGTTCTCCAGGTCCCCACTGAGTGTCCCAGGTCTTCTACTGAGTGTCCCAGGTCTTCTACTGAGTGTCCCAGGTCTTCTACTGAGCGCCTCAGGTCCCCACTGAGTGCCCCAGATCTTCCATTGAGTGTCTTAGATCTTCTGCTCAGAGCCCCAGATCTTCTACTGATTGTCTCAGGTCTTCTACTGATTGTCTCAGGTCCTCTACTGATTGCCCCAGACCTTCTACTGAGGGCCCCAGATCTTCAAACGAGTTCCCTAGATCTTCTGCTCAGTGCCCCAGATCTTTTACTGAGTGCCCCAGATCTTCTACAGAGTGCCCCAGATCTTCTACAGAGTGCCCCAGATCTTCTACAGAGTGCCCCAGATCTTCTACAGAGTGCCCCAGATCTTCTAAAGAGTGCCCCAGATCTTCTACAGAGTGCCTCAGATATTCTGATAAGGGCCCCAGGTC